GATCATTGTGATTGTGATTGTGTTAGATCTTCGTGTTCGTGAGTTTCCTACTCTGTGTTTCCTCGTGTTCCGTGTTCCCGTGTTTTCCTCGTGTTCCTCGAGAATTCCATGCATGTTAGTTCTTCGTGTTTTGTTAATTTGGACTTTGTTAATAAAACTTCCTGCACCAGAAAGAGTCTCTCCAGTACTGCATTTGGGTCCTGCCTGCTCCCTGCGATGCTCGCACATGACAAGGGGACATTCCACTGCTGAGGGAGATGAGTCCAATGACAGAGAGAAGACACACAGTCACAAGTAAAAACATTATAAAAAAAATAGATTAAGAAAAAAAGTTTGTTTCATCAAATATCTTTACTTTTAAAAAACATTTAAACTAGAATGCATTCAGTGAGTAAAAGAAAAGTTCTGTTCTAGGACTAATTAATGCACCTGCTATTTTCTTTGTCCTAGGGATCAATTTAGTGACTCAGAGGAGGAGTCATTGGCCATCTCTCCCCAGCAGGTGGGCGGCAGTTGGCCATTGGACCGAGCAGAAGATTCAGACAACCAGCATAACGTCAGACGAACTGGGCGAACGCCCATTAATATTCCTCCTGTGACTGTCACCTCCCCGCCTGGAGAGACCACCCTCATATAAAGTCTGTGTCAAGTTACCAATCAAGTTTAACCTCTATGACCAATGCGGGATTTACTGCAGTTATACAGTGGTATGAAAACGTTTGGGCACCCCTGATCATTTTCAAGATTTTCCTTTATGTATCATTGGTTGTTCGGGACAGCAATTTCAATTAAATATATCATATAGCAAACAAACACAGTGATATTTAAGAAGTGTTGCGCCGGGGCTGGATACTTCAACAAGACAACGACCCTAAACACCGCTCAAATTCTACCAAAGCATTCATGCAGAGGAACAAGTACAACGTTCTGGAATGGCCATCTCAGTCCCCAGACCTGAATATCATTGAAAATCTGTGGTCTGTTTTAAAGCGGGCTGTCCATGCTCGGAAACCATCAAACCTGACTGAACTGGAGATGTTTTGTAAAGAAGAATGGTCAAAAATACCTTCAACCAGAATCCAGACCCTCATTGGAAGCTATAGGAAGCGTTTAGAGGCTGTTATTTCTGCAAAAGGAGGATCTACTAAATATTGATGTAATTTTTCTGTTGGGGTGCCCAAATTTATGCACCTGCCTACTTTTGTTTAAGAAATTATTGCACACTTTACGTCCTATAAACTGCTTAAATATCACTGTGTTTGTTTGCTATATGATATATTTAATTGAAATTGCTGTTCCGAACAACCAATGATACATAAAGGAAAATCTTGAAAATGATCAGGGGTGCCCAAACTTTTTCATACCACTGTATATAAAAAAACAACCAGATTTGTAATAATTACATTGCACATGTGATGCTCAGAGGGTAAATGCACTTGAAGTTTACTGTTTGATACTAAAGTAGTTACACTGTTTCTGATTGATGAAGATATAACTAATCTTCGAAATCATGTTTTACTATTTGTAACAAGTCTATCCATACTCCCTGTCATATCTCCCGTTTGTCACATCACAGAGTGAGGCGCCTGTGTCACTACATTGTGACATTGCATTACTTTGAGATGTCCATTCTAATTGTCATTGCAATGAGCAGCATCGCCTTAGCAGCAGAGGATCCAGTTTGGACCAACGCCCCTCGCAACAATGTGAGACACAGTGAACGTGGATATACCCGTAAAAACACATTCACATACAGCTGTACAGTGTAGTGTACAGCTGTATGTTCTTCATATTGCTCTAATGTTGTCTCTGTGTCTGCAGGTACTGAAATATCTGGATTATGCCTTCACTGGTGTTTTCACTTTTGAAATGGTCATCAAGGTGAATACTTAAACAGTACTACTGTGATTTTGTAAGATGTTCTTTAGACTGTTCACATGCTCAAAATATCATTACAAGTGCAATGCAACAAAAAAGGTTCTTTAAAAGATACCATTGTGTATGTCTAGCATAGTCATTGTGTATATTAGAAATAGTATAATACCAGATGAAGAAAAACAGATTTCTTGCTGGACATGCAGACAGCAGGATGGACAGTTTTGCAATTATTATTCACAAATTAACCACAATATAAAGTCTGAATTTAATTTTAGTTAAAAAGATAATTGTAACTACCGCTGCCTTAGTTAGTTTGTTACTTAGGTTAAATTCAGGTCAAGAAGTCAGAAAATCAGGCATTTTTCTCTATAAACTTTGCTAAATTAATTTTGGACTTTGACCAAACAACACACGTATTCGTTGAAGCTTCTGTGACGTAAAACAAATAATTTTAACCACATTGTAAATTGTATTTAATTTAAAAGTAGGTACAGTTAACATTGTTTTTGGTCCAGATGGTGGATCTGGGCCTGCTGCTTCACCCTGGATCCTACTTCAGAGACCTGTGGAACATTCTGGACTTCATAGTGGTCAGTGGGGCGCTGGTGGCTTTTGCATTTTCGTAAGTTCAACACCTCCTTTATTTGTAATAAGAATTTTCCAATGGGAAGTCATTAGATACTTTATACAACTCAATTAGTTCAGGAAAGGTGGGGAAATTGAATTGAAAATGTAATGGTTATTAAAATGTCACTAAAAAAAGCCATTGAAAAGTGCTGTGGTTTTATCTGTCAGTCCTGTTGTGGCAGTGTGTTTATTGACATGACCCACTTCTTGTCTCTGTCCTGGGATCATTGTGAAGGAGCTTCATGGGGTAATGCCTCCTCTGTCTCTCTCATCTTTGCTTGATGGCACATTATCTGTGTGTATGAACAGTGTGTGAGTCAAAAACATACATGTCTGCTGCTGCACAACCAAGCAATCTCCTTATATTCTGTCTGATGTCTAAACATATCCAGCTCCATATTTTACTGCTTATTGTGAAAATGAAAAGGGTAGTGGAATGTTATTACACACATACTTTTATATGAATTAGGGCTGTCAAAATTAATCTTTTAATCACATACATTTTTTATATGTGATTATGATCATATTAATCAGATTAAATTTATTAGGCCATGATTAGAATGACCTTGAGTAATTCCACCATCCCTGTTGTTGCTCTAGTGCGCAGTTGATACCACTTTATTATTTGCAAACATGGTGGGAAACATTTTTTGTTTCACGCAGCACTTCAAACTGAAAATGTCATCCTAACGCCCAGTGTCTTTGTCGTGGCTTCAACTTTCTGTCAGATGCCTGACTTGTGTCAAAGCAGCCTCACTGAGCGCAGGGTAGTAAGTAACTTACTGACTGACAAAATTGTCAAATGCGTCATGAGGAACTGTTGTCTGATTAATATTGTTGCAGACAGCTGCACCAATGTTTTCAAAGAAACTCTTGAAACTTTCTACAAGCTACCATCAAGATGTACAGTAATGAATCAAATCCACCAACTCTATTAAGTTCAATTCTGAGATATATTTTTATTACCATATTAATAATTTCATCATTTGGTTTAGTAACAAATAAAAACCAGTGAAACATGTCAAAGACCCATTTTTATTTGTCCTTCTGTTCCAACAATATACAGAAAAGAATAGTTTTTCTGTTATATTAAGATAAGTTAATAAATCTTAATGAATCGTGATTTATCCTGACTAATTATGATCAGGATTAATCATAATTAATCAACAAACACCCAACAAATATTAGTTAAAAATTGTAATCATTCAACAGTCCTAATATAAACTTTACATATGGCTCCTACAGGTGGCAGCATGACCTGGTGTTAAGGAAGCTGGCAGAGGTGGCGGAATCATGCAGACAGGAGGCCAACAACAAACCTTCCACCTCAGCAAGACATCCCATATGGTTTGCAAAGGGTCGACCTGGAGGGGCAGCTCCAATTCCCCAGGGAGATCACAGAAACTTCGCTCCAGCCAGATTTAATCATGTGGTCAGAACCACACAGGACCGTTCTGATGGTGGAGCTCACCGTCCCATGCAAGGAATGCATGGAGGCTGCCAACGAGCAGAAACATGCAAAGTATGCAGACTTAGCAGCAGAATGCAGAGAGGCCAGCTGGAAAGCCATCACGTGCCCCGTTGAAGTAGGATGCAGGGGCTTGTTGGGTCCTCAACTGTACGACTGCTCCGTGACATGGGATGCACAAAAGCAGGGTGCAGGAAAGCCATTAGGGAACTGGCAGAAGAGGCAGAAAAGGGCAGCTTCTGGCTGTGGCTAAGGAAGAAAGAGGGGAGTTGGGGGCCAAATAAAACGTGACCCATTCACCTCAACGTAAATTTACCCGCAATAGTTAATTTCAAACACAATAGACATAATTAAATAATAAACTGTAACCTTAGCTCAAAAACAGGAGCAACAGATTAAGTTAGGAAGTAATGTTAATAAACCTAATAGTAATTAATTAGCAAGACACACCCTGGGCTCTTCCTAGGCGGAGAGTGTCTAGTGTTAATGGCTGAAACACTCGATGATCCCAAGGTCCATTATTGAAGATGTGTCTTACAATAAAATTATCCGAAACAACCAACTCATCCTAAAAAGCCACAATCCGGTAATACACCCCATTCCACCCCAGCCCCTTCACCCTGAAGATAAGTATAAGGATGACCCCAATAATTCCCCTGCCACAGCCCTATTACCCACCCCTTGATCATACCAAGGAAAATCACCCTTGAGGTAAGTTGTTACCACTAGTGACACTATGGCACTAGTGGTGCCCAGGGAGGTGTTCAGATGAACACACTTGCACAAAGGCACTGGTGGAGGTGACAACTGTGACTACTGTGGATCCAGTGACTACTGTGAAAGGTCAGCTGGTGTCCAGGGAAGACTGGAGGACATCCAGGAGAGACTGAATGACCGCAGAAAAGTCTGCATTGGGGGTGGCAGGCTAGTTACCTTACCCACCGGTCCCAAGCGGGACACCCCAAACAAACCACAAAGAGAAACAACCCAATGGCCCTCTGAGAGGCGAGATGAAAGAAGGAAAAGGAGAAGAGCAACTTCTTTAAAAAACCCTTCAAGCACCCAAGACGGCTTCTAGAGGACAAGAGAAGCTGGAAGCTGGGGATCACACATTCAGAGCTGGAGAATTATTTCAGAGAGCATTACAGTGACCCAGCAAGATCAACTCCACTGGGGTCACCTGGTTATGTTCCTCGCCTAGCCCCCCCATCCTTCCCATTCAATGCTGCTCTCCCTAAACTCAGTGAGGTCGCGGAAGTTGTCCGGAAAGCGAGAGCAGCCTCAGCCCCAGGCCCCAACGGGACACCTTACAAGCTGTACAAGTGTTGCCCAAGGGTCCGGAGACTTCTGTGGAACCTCATGAGGGTGGCCTGGAAGAACCAAGTCATCCCCTCAGAGTGGCAAAGGGCAGTCACAGTTTTTATCCCGAAGGAGGCGATATCCACCACCGTCAGCCAGTTCGGGAGCATCGCACTCCTGAATGTTGAAGGGAAGATCTTTTTCTCCGTATTGGCCATGAGGCTGACCAATTACCTGACTAGCAACAGGTACATTGACACCAGCTGACAGAAAGCAGGTGTGCAAGGATTCCTAGGGTGTGTGGAACACTCTGCAGTCATATGGGAGCAGATCCAGAGAGCGAAAATGGAGAGAGGTGACCTGCATGTGGTATGGCTGGACCTTGCCTACGCGTACGGATCCGTCCCCCACCAACTCATCGAGTATGCCCTGGACTTCTTCCATATCCCTGGCTCCATCAGAACCTTGGTAGCCAAGTACTTTGAAGACCTCAAGATGTGCTGCACCCATCAGGACTACACTACAGGATGACAACAGGGGGGCTGGATGTCAAGGGAAGGCGTCACAGACAGGCCCCTGGCGTGGGCTCATATGCGGAAGATCCCCCAGGCCAGGCTCAGCTTCCTGATCAGGTCTTCCAACGACACCCTGCCTGTCCCAGAAATCCCCACTAGTGGTTTGGTTACATATAGTTTGCAAAGGACGGAGAGAACATCAACCTCCCTCGTCAGAGAGTAACATCAACAGTACTCTCACCAGGCAGTGAGTGGTCGATGAGGGTCAACCTTGGGAGGCAGCTCCAATTCCTTAGGGAGATCACAGAAACTTCGCTCCAGCCAGATTTAATCATGTGGTCAGAACCACACAGGGCCGTTCTGATGGTGGAGCTCACCGTCCCATGCGAGGAAGGCATGGAGGCTGCCAACGAGCAGAAACATGCGAAGTATGCAGACTTAGCAGCAGAATGCAGAGAGGCCAGCTGGAAAACCATCACGTGCCCCGTTGAAGTAGGACGCAGGGGCTTGTTGGGTCCTCAACTGTACGACTGCTCCGTGACATGGGATGCACAAAAGCAGGGTGCAGGAAAGCCATCAGGGAACTGGCAGAAGAGGCAGAAAAGGGCAGCTTTTGGCTGTGGCTAAGAAAGAAAGAGGGGCGTTGGGGGCCAAATAAAACATGACCCATTCACATCAACGTAAATTTACCCGCAATAGTTAATTTCAAACACAATAGACATAATTAAATAATAAACTGTAACCTTAGTTCAAAAACAGCAGCAACAGATTAAGTTAGGAAGCAATGTTAATAAACCTAATAGTAATTAATTAGCAAGACACACCCTGGGGCCTTTCTAGGTGGAGAGTGTCTAGTGTTAATGGCTGTAACACTCAATGACCCCAAGGTCCACTACGGAAGATGTGTCTTACAATAAGATAGTACAAATTATCGGAAACAACCAACTAATCCTAAAAAGCCATAATCCAGTAATGCACCCCATTCTACCCCATCCCTTACCCCAGCCCCTTCAACCTGAAAGTAAGTATAAGGATGACTCCATCAATTCCTCAATCATACCAAGGAAAATCACCCTTGAGGTAAGTTGGCACCACTAGTGACACTCAGGCACTAGTGGTGCCCAGGGAGGTGTTCAGATGAACACGCTTGCACAAAGGCACTGGTAGAGGTGCGTCAGGCAGCAATGCCCAGCAGGCAGACCGTCAGCCTGTATCATCATATGTAAACCAAAATTTTCCCAATGAATATTTCTCTGAGAATAGTACACAAAGAAATGACTTACATAATATATATGTATATAATAAATAAAAAAATATATGTCTGTCCTCATAAGGAGAAAAGCAATGTCTCTATGAAAGAGGAGACTCATTGTATACATATTTAAGTATTGTGTAATTTGGTAAGTTGATTCTATTCTCCATCTTAAAAGATGGACATGAACTAAAACATGAATAAAAGATTGGCCAGCAGGTGGCAGAAGAAGCAGCATTGGAGTTGAACCAGCAGCATAATTACTACATCTAAGCCTACAATTAGCATACTTTATAAGTAAGTATTTTTTTTTCAATAACATACTTTATAAACTTATGTTATTTGGGTATTTTTTCAGAATAAAAAACAATTAACCTTTAAAACTTACTTCACCATCATGATCCTGGACCAAAATAGTGTTTTCTTTGTATATCCATGCACGGACAGAGATAATTCTCTCCCTGTGTATTTTTTTAGTGTGGCCTAATTGTATGCTGGGCTGATGGTTTTGAGCTTAACTGATACAAACAGCTGTTAAAATGAATCTATGTTATAAGATATGATATAAGGGCAGATTTCTTGTAGGGATGAGTGTAACCCGCAGCCTTCACTGACATGTCTAAAACCCATTACATTCTGTCCATCTGGGACCCCACTGTACTTGACATTTGTGTGCTTGGCTGAGGGTCCGTCCTCCATGCCGTACTTCGTCACAGTGGAGCATGTCACCTGTGTCTTCCTCATCGTTTTATTTCTCTATCTTTCACTGGGAGTTCTCCTCAGCACTAACCCTGACACAGGCCTTAGACAAACCATCTTTTATTCCTGTAATTGATCAGAAGCTCTGTGCTGTAACCAGCCAGCTGCTGTCAGAGGGCATGGCTTCATCTCAGGGGACGTCAATCTCCTCCATGGTCTTAGCAGGCAGTGTATTATGATAGACTTTATGACGTATGACGTTCACCATCTATTTTTAATGACTGTAGCATCACATCATGTCCATTTACATGTGCACTAAATGGTATTCATCAGACTTGGATCCATTATATCAAGACATAATCTGTACTGAACAGCTTTTCTGAATGATTTGGAGTCACAATGTGATAAAAGTTACATGAGGGAAATAACAAAATAAACCTTAAAGCAAGTGTTTAAATCAAATGCATACTAGTTAGATATGATGTCAAACACCCACACAGTAGTCAATTCTAATTATCTAATTTTATATACATTTTTATATTATCAAAATCATGTTCTAAATAAGAATATCTAAAATCATCATTAAGACGACAGTCAGGAAAATGTAACTAATGCTATGAATTATGTATGAACTAGTATCAAATTACATAAAGTATAAACAAAGCTTACTCCTCTTGATAATGCTATATTGAATTTGAAATAATCCTTAGCAGTATTAAATATAAATAAAACTGTGATTTTATCCTATTCTTTATCCTACACACACAACTCAACAGATGATTGACATCTGTCATTTCTGTCATCACTTGTCATAAAATGCTACAGAGGTTGTTTGTCTTTAGATTTGTCTTGACAACATCAGACCAAAGCACCTCCATCAAAATGAACTCTGATGATTCATTAGTCATGTCATCGTATCATTCAGGAAATGAGCGGCACCTATTGGTGCATGTGTCATGCTTGTTGCTGCAAAACTGCACCTGCTAACCTGGAAACTTTGCCTTACATCTGGGATTCTGTTGCTGTTTTTTTGTCTGAATGTAAAGTAGATTAGCAAAGATGTAACAGCTATTAATTAAGCTGTTACATCTTTGCTAATCTACTTTACATTGGTATTTAGAGGAGTTATTTCAGCGTTTGATTTTTGTTCAAAGTTACGATTTTGAGTGAGATGTTGTAGGAGCAAGTAATAACAGACAGAATGCCTGCTCTGATCGACTCAGCTTCTTATCACATGTTCTGTTCCATCCTCATGTGGCCTGATATGTTTGAATCCATTGTGTATCTTCAAACTTCACTGTGATTTCTATAGATCTTTTTCATATACCAACTGACACATTTCCACATTTTCATGTGCATCTTCACGAATGGAAAACTTGTGTTGTCATCTGATGCAAACATGTGCTTTTATTTTGTTTGTATGTGTGAAGCATCCATAAAATTACTGTACCTTGTTTTACCACTGTTTTCCCCCAAGTAGATTGCAACACGGTGTAACCAGGAGGGGAACCCTCCTATGCCACTTTCCCCAAAAAACCCTGTCCCCTGAACCTTACACCCATATCTTAATCCTAACCCCTCCACCCCAAATCCAACCCCCCTCTAACTTCCATTCTTCTGCTTAGATCGGCTTCATGAATTAATAAACCAGTAAACCCATATGCTGGTGATTTCCTTTTACACAACAGTAACCACAACAGTACCATGACAGCTTTCAAATGAAACCTGCCTCAGTCTGAAAAACCACTGATGGTTTCATTCACTTTATTCCAAAATGCTATATTGATTTTTTTGATTAACTTTTTGGTTAAGTATTTAAATGTTTTCCTTACATAAATAAATTGACCGAAATAGTCGAGATCATCCATCCATCCATTTTCATCCGCTTATCCATTACCGGGTCGCGGGGGCAGCAGTTGCCATCCAAATCGCATTGCACCGTACCAACCCCCCAAACCTTCCTGCGGGTGGTGAGTCCACTGGAAGGTATTAACCGCCCTAACCGGGATTCAAACTTGCCCAGGAGGTGAACCCTGGGGTTCCACACCGATGACAGAGACATTGCCAAAGCGCCACTCGTTGAGATCATCAATTCTGTTAACTAATTCTTACTATTGCATTTTGGAATGAAAGGTGTCATGTAGACGTTAGTGTGTTATTTTAACAATGACTGATTTTCATTTTCTACCTTTTTCACAACATCCACTGTCAACAAACCTGAACCTAACTTATGGGTAAAACTGGTATTGTTGCACTTTAATCTTTAGGTAAAGGCGTTAAAGGACATTTCAGAATTGTTAGGTGTCGACTGCTTGTATTTTTTAAATAGTGATCAACAAACAATGTGAACTGAGACAATGTTGAGGAGAGGGACTGCACGTTTTTAAAAAATGGCCCTTTGGCAAGCTAATGGTTGCTTGCAAGTGACATGTTGGAGACCTCCAAAACTGCACCTGCTAACCTGGAAACTTTGCCTTACATCTGGGATTCTGTTGCTGTTTTTTTTGTCTGAATGTAAAGTAGATTAGCAAAGATGTAACAGCTTAATGAATAGCTGTTACATCTTTAGCTAATCTACTTTACATTGGTATTTTTTATACACGTTGGAGACCTCTGCTGTAGTCTTTTCTGTTCATTCTTGTTCACTAGCAAACCTGGTTTAAGAAAACTAGATGACCTTTGAAGGAGCTACTGCAGTAGTTTTTAAACACTTACCATCTACCGTCACATCCTTAAACCTGTTTCCAACTCAACAGGAGTGATCTGTGGCTCACACCGTCTTACATGAACTAGGACTCCAAGGTTGTTGTTGTTGTTTTGTTGCATTCATTAACCCAGCTGATCTAAACACATCTGAGTCATATCCTATAACATTTCATAAATAGTCCCCAGTGTGAACTTTTGTTGTTTGTCCATTTAACCAAAAATAAAAAACAGGAGTATTTATTATTTATTTAAACATTTGTAAATACATACTGTCTGAGGTCTGTTTCAGGATGCAAGGTTTACAAAATGCCCAGCGGAAGTCTAAACCTTATGTTGAGCCTGAAGTAACATTTTATTGTAACATCTTGGTAAATGTAAAAGCACAAATACATTAACATCCTGCAAAGACTGGAATATAGAAGTTTAAATAAATAACAGTATAAATAAGTAACAGTCCCATGGTGTGTGGTTTAAGAGTCAGTGTGGAAGGAGTAAGAGGAGCAAGGTGTGTAAAGAGAATAAAATGGGAATGCTTCTTGTTCCCAAGTGGTCTAGGAGAACACATGTAAATATTAGAAAAATATTTAGGAATTGAAACAAAGCATCCTAAGCATTTTGTTCTGTAAAATTTACCACATCTCTGTGTAACATACATTACACTAAGTATTTTGGTCAAAGGAACACTTACACAAAACTTAAATGCTATGCATTTACAAAGATAAAAATGATAAAAATGTTATTTAACTGCTTTGTGCCTGAAATGCTAAATAAAAGTTGATGTATACTTGACTGACAGCAAAGCTTTTTGGCAAAGACAAAAACAAACCCAGGATTTGAAGTTTAATGGTCACACTTACTGAAACACACCACTGATCACTGCAGGTTGTATGGAAAAAATGATTGGTGTCTGTGGTTGTTTCTAAGACTGGTTAGCTCTTCCAGGGGGACCAAAGGCAAAGACATCAGCACCATCAAATCCCTGAGGGTTCTCAGAGTTCTTAGGCCACTCAAGACCATTAAACGACTGCCAAAATTAAAGGTTTCCTTTTTTACAGTCAATCAGTTACCTGAACAAGTTTGAGTGTATGATAACCGATTATCAAACAATTGACAAATTGATGGGATGCTATTGTACTGACTTAAAAAACGTTTTTCAATGAGCTTTTTGCATTGGTTCTCAGGCAGTGTTTGACTGTGTGGTCAACTCGTTAAAGAACGTGCTGAACATCCTCATCGTATACATCCTCTTCATGTTCATCTTCGCTGTCATCGCAGTTCAGCTCTTCAAAGGGAAGTTTTTCTACTGCACAGATGAATCCAAAGGGCTGCAGAGGGACTGCAAGTATGTCCAACAACGCTTCAGAGCCTCAAAGTTACACCTGTGTTCTCCTGCGGTCACTCAGCTTCATCTATACCTTCATGTCTTTTCAGAGGACAGTTCTTGGACCACGATAAAGATGAGGTATCTGCCATGCCAAGGGAGTGGAAAAAATACGAGTTCCACTATGACAATGTGCTGTGGGCTTTCCTCACTCTCTTCATGGTCTCCACTGGGGAAGGCTGGCCAACGTTTGTATAGCTCATCAACGTCTTCATGTCACTCTTACCGTTTCTCTCTTGTTGACATGATTTTGTTCTCGTTTTGTTTTTTTCTCCTTTTCTGCAGAGTACTGAAGCATTCAGTTGATGCCACCTTCGAGGATCAAGGCCCC